GGGGGGTGGGGCGGTGGGGGGGCCTGACATGCGGGAGATGCCTTTCTGCCCCACCCCCTCCTCTGACCTCTCTTCCTCCTGTCACCCCAGGCCCTGGCCCGGGGGATCCCTACAGCCAAACATCAGGGCCTCAGTTTCCACACCTGAGACCCTGGTCTTGAAATCGAGTCCCATCTTGCCTCACTGCCAGGGAACTGAGTTTGGAGAAGTTTCTCTCTCCGAGCCTCCCCGGGCTCCAGGGACAGGGTGGGGCTGGAGGGAAACCGGGACAGTCTGCCCCCGCCGCTGAGTGCCGGTGGGACGGGGCTGCCGGGCACCACGGGGTTAAAGGCCCATCAGGCTGGGGACCTTTAACCCTTCCCTCCCCGAGGCTCACCCCTCCACACACAGGCCCACTTTCCCAACACAATGGCCCCTCCCCCCTCCTTCCTCCTGGACCGCATAGAGGGCGGGCCCTGGCCCCAAAGACCCAGATAATGGCCAAAGGCCACCCTCGACCCCTCCCCAAAGTCCTGAAGTGCCCGTCCTCCCTCTCTGCCCACACGCTCTCTCACTGCAACCTCGGGGGACTGAGGGCACCCAGAGGAGGGGAGTGGGGCTGGGAAGCAGCTGTCACCCCAGGCCCGGAAAAGGCCAGGGCTGCCACTCAGGGACTGCAGTCAGATTCCAGGAGGGACTTCCCACTCGGCCTCCCCCACCCCCAGCCTCCTACTCAGTCTTCCTGCTTCTTGCAACACAAAGACCACACTGGCCACACCCTCCCTGTGGCCCGGCCAGCTCGCCACCTCCCCCCACCCGCTCCCACTTGGCCAGTTCCTCAGTGTCTCCCTCCCGGCTCTCAACATCCCCGTGTGGGGTGGGCACTCACCGTTGGGGTGCGGGCCTCGGGGGCGGCTGCGGGGACCCCCAGGCCAGCGGGGGGCCCCTAGGGCGGCAGTGACAGCGGGCAGGGCAGTGGGGGCGCAGAGGTAGGCAGCTGGCAGCCGGGCAGGGGTGGCAGGGGCAGGAGGCAAGCCAGGCTCACAGAGGCCGCAGGACACAGCTGAGGGCACCAGGCGGCTGAGTGGGAAGGGACGAGGGCCGTCGCGGGCCAGGCCCTCTACGGGCTCCGGGGAGCTGCCCTCCTGGCGTGCTCGGGCCATGGTGCTCCCTGGGGCCTGCAGGACAGGAAGAGAAGGGTGCTGTCAGCCGGCAAGTGCCGGGGTCACCAGGGCCCCACAACACACACCCCCTACAGGGTCCACAGGCACCTCCACTCCTGCACACCACGATGAGCACACACAGGGCAGGGATGGCACCCTCCACGCACACTGGGCCCAGATGGAGGTATGTGTATGGTCACACAAGATACACACCCACCTAGGGACCCAGGGCTCAGCAGCCTCCCAAACACATGGTGATGGGCACACATGAGGGACAGGGCGGCACAGGCTGGCTCTCACAGCAAGTTCAAGAGCTCACACAGGACCCAGATGCAGGGGGCTGTCAGGTGTGTGAGTGTGAGGGTTGATGGCCCCGCAACACAAACTCACCCAACAGGACATGGGCTGGGGGGGGTCACTTTTGGGACACAGTGATGGGCACACACGGAGGGCAGCCAGGCACTGGGATGGCTCCCCCAACACACACACACACACACACACACGGACTCAGGCAGGACTGGCCAGCCCGACCTCCCACCTCATCTCCCATTTGCACAGAAACATTGAGATGGTCCCAGTGTCGGACATTGCTACTCAGTACACAGGACACACACACACACACAGGAACACTGACCAAATGTAAACACACAGACCATCACAAGAGCTATACAAACAATGCATGCTGCCTGGCACAACCCATCCCCCGCCCCCCCCCCATGCACAAATAGTCGGAATCTCACACACTGACCCACTGTTGATATGCCCATGGACACACACACACAATACTGACACACAGGCACACTGACACACACAATGCAGCCAACACCAGCACAGACAGAAACACACACTTCTCAAACACATCTACACCCAAGAGATAAGGCATGCCCACCTCAGGACTCACACACATATCAACACAAAACAGACACCCACGGACTCACACAGACCAACACAACGGAAACACGCCTACTTGCCTACCAACTCTTAGACCCCAGGACACACGTCAATCAGGCACACACAGACACATGTCATCAGACCCAGACGCATCCCCACACATTCCAGCCACGACACACAGACACGACAGCAGAAGAGAACATCAACCCACCCTCCTTCCCTCACCTCACAACACCATCACCAACTGTCAGTCCCGGACACACACCACACACACCAGCCAACTCTAATCCCACACCGCCCTGGCAGCACGCACACCTAAAGCTCCCACAGAAAACAGTGGTCTCACGTGACCGACATAAACACTACACACACGCAGCCCACATGACACACATGAGCCAGCCGATCGCGGGAGACAAACCCCTCAGACCCAACACACACACACACACACACACACACACACACACACACACACACGGGCTCAGACAAGCCCCATGCAGGAGGCTGCCAGCAACACCCACTGACTGCACTGCACAGACCCCACAGAGACGCGGTCCTCAATTCCCAGACACCGATGCCAGACATACAAGCCAAACAGAGACGGAGACAACCCCCCACCACACACACACACACACACACACACACACGCACACACACACCATGCAGAACTCACAGACACCTGCACGGAAAGCAGGCACCACATTCAGCAGGCACTCATCACAAACATGCCCCGGAGATAGACACAGTCACAGGCAAGACACAGGAGCACACACAAACAACACATCGGGCAGGACACACAGAGAAGCACACAGACACAGCTCACTCAAAACAACACACAACAACCTAGCACGCCCAACCACACGGACCCAGAGAATCCCCCCCAAACAGCATCCACAGACAACTCTCACTCACAGAGCACACACACGGGTACCCCAATAAACAGAGCCCACCCTTCAGGCAGGGCAGACACAGACAGCACTCCACACAAACACACAGGCGGGGGACTCACGCACACACCCCGAGCGGCCACAGCCCCAACATTCCCCCGGACGGACGGACAGACACCACCACTCCCTGCGGACCCCAGCAACAAACTCGGAGCCAGACACACGCACACACCCAGGCGAGACACCTGCAGATCCACAACCCCGCACACGCGCGCTCCCACGGCGGGGCCAGACGCAC